AGGGGGAGAGAGAGGGTAGGTGGGCTCTTTGTAGGGGTCTTGAGGAATGGCCAGGAATGCTGACCTTCCGCTTCCCCCCCCCCATCCCAGGTCTTTGTGGCTGACTTAAAAAGAGAGTCACTGAGATGAACAGAACAGAGAATGGAATGGGATGGGATGGGATGGGATGGGATAGAGTAGAGTAGAGTAGAGTAGAGTAGAGTAGAGTAGAGTAGAGTAGAGTAGAGTAGAGTAGAATAAAACAGAACAAAACAGAATAGAATAGAACAGTTCCGATTAGACTAGACTAGACTAGACTAGACTAGACTAGACTAGACTAGAATATGGAATGGAATGGAATGGAATGGAATGGAGTAGAGTAGAGTAGAGCAGAGCAGAGCAGAGCAGAGCAGAACAGAACAGAACAGAACAGAACAGAACAGAACAGAATAGAATAGAATAGAATAGAATAGAATAGAATAGAATATTCTTTATTGGCCAAGTCTGACTGGACACACAAGGAATTTGTCTCTGCTTCAGAAGCCTCTTGTCTTTGGTTGTTTGTGTACATACAAACAACAAAGCAATAGGTCATACATTTTGCAGTGACAATGTAGGTAGGATGGAATAACGTCTCGTAAAGTGGAATGGAATAAAATAATGGAATGGAACTGAATGAAACAGAACAGAACAGAATCAGAGTTGAAAGGGACATTGGAGGTTGTTTCCCTGGGAGAAGAAAGGCAGTCTACAGTCAGAATGACCATTTCAAAAACATCTTCTTTCAAATTGATTGGACAATGGGGGGGGGAGGATCAGCAATGGGATGTGCTTCAGAGGGGAGGAAATTACACTTAGAGATTTGGTGGGCAAACGTTAGTTCCACTTGATCTTTAGTAAACTATACATTTCTCAAAAAAATTGGGTCAAGGTTCATTCTTGCTTAAAGATTCAAGGCAGGACTGACACTGGGGCTGGGATGGGAAGTATTTCTTCCACTCAAAGCCATCTTTGTAACTAATCAAGGAGAGAATCAATCTAGAATTAATTCATTAATTAGTTTCCTGACAGAGAGAACAATTAACCTGTGGAACAGAAACTACCTTCAGAAGTTGTGGCTACTCCAACACTGGAAGTGTTTAAGAAGAGATTGGACAGCCATTTCTCTGAAATGGTAGGTGATCTCCTACTAAGACGAGGGTTGGACTAGACTAGAGGACCTCCAAGGTCCCGTCCAATTCTGGTATTCTCTTCTGTTTAAGAAGAACATTGGTGTTTTCATGCCCTTCCTGTATCCTTCAAAATTCTTGTGAATTCTCACCTTCTGTCTGGTTCTTCCTGATCTTGAAGGAACCGGAGGGAAAACACTAAAGGCAGACTGCCACAAAGGACTGCTGTTTTCCCCAAAATCCCCCCTTATGTTGTTATAACATGTCTTTAGATAACGTATCTCCTTCCTTCCTTTCTTCTATTCATTCCCTTTCTTCTTTTCCTTCTTCAGTTCCCCAAGAAAGGCAGAGCTGCCACCATCAACCTGGATGAGACTCAACAAATACTGAGCAGAAATTTCCTTTCCAATCTCAGTTGCATATTTGATGCCCCTAGTCCTGCATAGTCAGAAGTGGGGATTGGCAACTGCCCTCTGGGCTTAGAGCTTTTATGGAAACCCAAAGGCCATGTAGATGGCCTTCTAACCAAAAACACATAAGGAAGCTTACAAGGGACACTGATAAAAAAAAAAAAAGCAATAGAGGTAATCCTTGACGTATGACCGCAATTGAGTCAAAAATTTCCGTTGCTGAGCAAAGCTGTTGTTAAGTGAATTTTGCCCCGTGTTACAACTTTTTTTTTGACACAGTTGTTAAGTGAATCACTGCACTTGTTGCATTAGTAACACAGTTGTTTAAGTGAACCTTGCTTTCCCCATTGGCTTTGCTTGTCGGAAGGTCACAAAAGGGGATCTTGTGATCCCAGGACACCACAACCATCATAAATATGAGCCGGTTGCCAAGCATCCGAATTTTGATCACATGATCATGAGGATACAGCAATGGTCATAAGTCACTCAGTACTAGGGGGGAGGAGGAGGAGGAGGAGGAGGAGGAGGAGGAGGAGGAGGAGGAGGAGGAGGAGGAGGTGGTTGGTGCTCTTTGGGCTTGGTGGTTTTCTTGCAGACGTTTCATGACCCAACTAGGGAATATTATCAGTTCTATAAGGGGTTTGTGGGAAGGGGGAGGAGGAGAAGGAGGAAGAAAAGGAAGAGGAGGAGGAAGAAGAAGAAGAAGAAGAAGAAGAAGGAGGAGGAGGAGGAGGAGGAGGAGGAGGAGGAGGAGGAGGAGAGTGCAAAAACAACAACAACAATAACAACTTTGAATGGTCACTAAATGAATAGTCATAAATTGAGGACTACCTGTAATTTGGTTTGGAATTGGAGATTATAGTTCTGTTGCTGCCCAGGCCTCACTTGATATTCTAGAGCGTTTTTCTGCCTAAAACCATGTATTAGACGTGATCACGTGGATGGACCAACAGAATATATTGCCATATCTGAGTTCTCGCCCTCCGAATCGGCTTCTTCTCACCCAATGCCCTCACCTGATGGCTTGTAATGTGATTTTTTTTCCCCCATCCAGGCTCACCCGTGTGAGAAAAAAGACCACAGAAGTAATGAAGCAACCATTTCACCCAAGTGTGAAAACCACTGGAGACATTCGAGAAGGAAAACAAGCAATTAAATATAAGGAAGAAACTGGACTAGCTATATCACCAGTCACACCTTTCTGCACATTTCTGCTATTTCAGGGTGCAAAATCCTGAATCGCCCAGGGACTAGATTTATCAGCCCTAATTCCTGGTTATTACATGGACAGATCCATGTTATTCTCCTGGTGAAGGTATAGAAGTAATATAGCATTGATATATATGCTTTCCCCCCCCCCCTTTATCTCCCAGAGTGACTTTAATAGCTCTGGGATTCCCCTATTCTCTTCCCTCCAATTAAAAACCAGGTACAGCTCAGCTTAGCTTCGGAGAGGAATCTCCCAAAGACGGTCAAGGTGATGTGTTTTCCAACACACCTCACTAGATAGGGACGATCTCCTGCCAAGTTCTCGTATCTTCATAACTAGAAATGCAGAATAATAGAGCTGGAAGGAACCTTGGAGGTCTTTTAGTCCAACCCCCTGCTTAAGCAGGAGACCCCATATCATTCTGGACAAATGGCTGTCCGATCTCTTCTTGAAAACCTCTAGGATAGAGTACCCACAACTTCTGGAGGGAAGCCGTTCTCACCGTCAGGAAATTTATCCTTATTTCTAGATTGGTTCCCTCCTTGATAAATTTCCATCCGTTGTTCTTCTGCTGCCTTCAGGAGCTTTGGAGAATAGGTGGACCCCTCTTCTTTGTGACAGCCCCTCAGATACTGGAACACTGCTGTCATGTCATGTTGTTTACTGCTTGACTGTTGGTCTAGTGTTAATCCTGGAGTTAATCTCTGCTTATCTGGCAATTGATTGCTGGTAATGAGGTTTTGATTCTTTTGTTTCCTTTTGGGCTTTTTGATTGTCTCTTTTGAAAGGAGTGTAAATATCATTTATCTCAATGTATCTGTTGATGTCTGATTACTGAGTGCCAGGCTTCCAGGAATTCTCTAGCATTTTTGGACTTAGCTTGGTCTATTCTATTCTATTCTATTCTATTCTACTCTACTCTACTCTACTCTACTCTACTCTACTCTACTCTACTCTATTCTATTCTATTCTATTCTATTCTATTCTATTACCATTTTCTCCTCTCCTCCCCTCTCCTCTCCTCTCCTCCTCTCCTCTCCTTTCTTCTCTCCTCTCATCCTATCCTGTCCTATCCTATCCTATCCTATCCTATCCTATTGTCATTATTCCATTCCATTCTATTCCAGTCCAGTTCAGTCCAGTCTAATCTAGTCTAGTCTAGTCTACTTTAGGCTATCATCATTATTCTATTCCATTCCATTCCCAGTTGATACAGTGGCAAAATCTGTCCATATGTTGTACAATTAAGGAGTTTTCGTCATGTCTTCTGACTGCTAGTTGGTGTTCATGAATGTGCACAAACGTTCCTCCTGTTATCTTCCCAGCCTCCCCACCATCTCTTCCTACCTGGTTCTGAGGGACCAAATGGGATGAAACCAAGTTCACCCTGAATTCTTGCAAATTGTGATTGTCCAGAAACAAGCACTGAGGGACCTTTTGATCTGAAGGCAGAACTTGTCTCTGGTGCCCTTGAAAGAGCTCCTGACTCCTTTGAGTTCTGCCTTCCTGTTGATTCCCATTTGATCCTGTGGGGATGTGGGCTGGGACTTAGCTGATAGGAAATCAGCAAAGAGTAGGGGGGGCGGGGTTATTTCTGAAAGAGGATAGCCAAAAGGGAAAGGCTGGATGGAAACTAATCAAGGAGACAAGCTACCTAGAAATCAGGAGAAATTTCCTGACAGCTAGAACAATTAACCAGTGGAACTCCTTGCCACTTGTCTGAAATGATATGGGGTCTCCTGCTTGAGCAGGGAATTGGACTAGAAAACCTCCAAGGTCCCTTCCAACTGTGTTATTCTGAAAGGAAAAAGGAGCCCTGCTCAACCAGACCAAGAGACCGTCCAGTCCAGCAATCTGGATTGAATCCAGTTATCATTCTGAATTGCACCACTTCTGTTTCACTGGATGACACTATTCCATTTTTGTGTGAAATATGGGAAAGAGAGACACCTAGATCTATTTTCCTACGCACATACAAACAGAGAGAGGGAAGCTAAAAGAACTCTGAATGTTTTCAGTCCCTTAGTAGAGATTTTATCATGGTGTTTGTTCTCCTAGCCAGCCCACCATTTCTTGACGGCATTTTCTGGATAAACACACCATCGACATTTGCCTAAAGAAGTGCGAATTGTGATTCGCCCTGGCTGTAATTCCCCAGCCTCGTTCTATTTCCAGGTAAACACAAACGTTACTCTAATCTTCAATGAAAGCCAATTTTAGCTAGAGCTTCACCTTAAATCCAGCCGGCTGATCTTCCTCGCTTTTCCTCCCAATCAACCAGGCCTCTTTCACGCTTCGGTTGGGATTCGCCAAGTATCACCGCAACGGAATTAAGGTTCCAAATTGGCCTTTGCTGGCGGCTCTTAATGCTTTCTATAATCTTCCTGTAATTATCCCCAATCCCCAAGCGGGCTCTTGTTTCTGCGCTCCTGTCTTCTGACGATGGAGTTAACGAGCAAAGTATTCTTTTCAATCAATTGTTCCAGATAGTTTGAACACACTGAAACCCCAGCCGACTGTTGTGTGTCCAACTCCTTCAAAGACACCACACAGTCCGCTTTCATCCACTTTTGTGACCTACTTGCAGACAATCTCAGAGCTCGGTTTGATGACATGGAAGCCACGTGTGATGCTGATGGAAGTTTAATGCTCTCCTTAATCCAAGAGGGCTTAAAGACACTTTCTCCAGCCAGAAGTTCTCTGTAGTGAAGACTTTCGGCTCCCATCGCTACCACACACACATAACGGCACTGTGGTTATTATGGTTTACAATTCCCAGGATCCTTAGGGGCGCTATAATCTATAAAGTGACCCATTCTAAACTGACAGCCAGTCCTGTTCAAAGGCTTGAACAGAAGCTGTGCGATTTAAATTCACAATACTTGGATAAAAGACTGAATTTCAAAGAGAGCCCAGTTCTAACTGTGCCGTTTTCTTTTCAGGAGCAAGCTGCTGGATGCCTTTTTTAATTTATTTTTTTTTTAAAAAAAGATCCTGCATTCATTATATTTATAAATAATTCAGGACAGTGAGCATATCTAATATTCTTTCTTTTCCTATTTTCCCCACAAGAACAACCCTGGGAGGTGGGTTGGATGGAAAGAGAGGGACCCAGTTGACTTTCATGCTTACAGCAGCACTAGAACTCTCAGTCTCCTGGTGATTGGCCCAAAGTCACCCAACCAGATTTCATGCCTAAAGCGGGACTAGAACTCTCTATCTCCTGGTGATTGGCCCAAGGTCATCCAGCTAACCTTCATGCCTAAGGCGGGACTAGAATTCACCATCTCCTGGTGATTGGCCTAAGCTCACCAGTCAGCTTTCATGCCTAATGTGGGACTAGAACTCTCTATCTCCTGGTGATCGATCCCAACTCACCCAGCTTGCTTTCATGCCTAATGAAGAACTGGAACTCATCATTTCCTGGCGATTGGCCCAAAATCATTTAGCCAGCTTTCATGCCTAAGGCTGGACTAGAACTCTCTATCTCCTGGTGATTGGCCCAAGGTCACCCAGCTAACCTTCATGCCTAAGGGGGGATAAGAATTTACAGTCTCCCAGTTTCTGGAAGATTGATTTCATGGAGTTACTTCTCAGTGGTTTCCCTTATTGTTCTCCACCTACAGACAGAATCTTGCCAGACTAAAGCAATTATCTGCAAAATTATAGATTTATTCTGTGAACTGCTAGGGAAGAGACATCTTAATCCTTTTCCTATGGACCAAACTTCCTGAGCTCAGCTGTTTCTTTGCCCTCTGGGAAGCATCCCCTCCCTCCCAGACCACATTCCACCACAGAAGTCTTGATTTGCAGTTACAAAAAGTCCATTGTTATCACTACCATCACTACATCCAGATCAGGGAGATCTTCATGTGCTTAGCATCTGTGCTGAATTTTGAGTGAGTTCAGCAACAACTGGGACACACAGTCTCCAGCCCCCCCCCCCGAAATATATAAAGGTAGTCCTCAACTCACAACCATTCATTTAGTGACTGTTTGACATTACAACAGCCCTGCAAAAAGGGACTTACGGACACTTTTCAGACTCACAACCATTGTTGCAGCATCCCCGGTCACATGATGAACATTTGCAGTATCCGGGCTCATGTGATCACCTTTTGTGATCTTCTGATGAGCAAAGTCAAGGGGAAAACTGGATTCACTTAACAAGAGTGTTACTAACTTAACAATGGCAGTGATTTTACTTAAGAACTGTGATAAGAAAGGTCATAATATGGGCAAAACCGATTTAACAAAGTCTTGTGTCAATGCTGCTAACATCGGATGTTTTTGCATTGACAATAGATGGAAATGTAGCCATCTTTTACCTTTTGCTTTTAGAGTTACATGATGCTGGGAGGGAGGATGTGAATGAGAGTCCAGCTAGACATAACAACTTTAAACCTAGGGTGAGAAACAAGGTTATTGTAACCAGAGCTGATAAGGAAGTGACGGGCTGGAGAACTGGAGAGGAAGCCCTCGCTTCAAGCTAATTGGGGAATGTGATTTATGACTGTTAATTGGAGGAGGGAATTGTGCTTTGATACTATGTGCTTAGGAGAGGGGAATTCAGTTTTTGACTTTGATTATGCAGTGCCGATGTTATGCTACTCAAAATAAAGATTCTTTAAGGTAAACAATGCCTCAAAGTTCTTTTGAAGAGTTTCATCTGTCGGAACCATGACATCTTGCTTAGCAATGGAAATTTTGGGCTCCATTGTGGTTGTAAGCCGAGGACTACCCTGTACATCCATGTACCCTCTTATGTGCGTGCAAACTGATTTGTCTGGAATCCTCTGGAGACCTGGGGTCTCTCTCTCACCCCCAAAGTCCACAGACCAGGCCAAGAACCAGGAGGCAACAGGGACTCAAATGATAAGATAAGAACCCCCTATATGTTCTATGGGGCCACAGCCCGTGATGTTGCGTGTTCTGTGGGTCCCAGTTACATGGGCATGACATTTTGGCCTTAGGCAACATCATGGAGATTTTCCTGGCTTTGATCCCTGTGGAGCAGATTGGATTGTGTTATCCCTGCTGAATGTTAATAGTTCCATTCGTACAGCATACTAAGCTTGACCGGTTTTTGCTTTGGTTAGAAATGGAGTGTGTCTTTCATGTCCTAGATTGTATAACTTAGCCTGAATAGTTAATTTATGAGTCAGTGTACTGTATAAACCCAGAAAATGAGTTAAATCAGCAACTCAATTACGCTAAGCGTTTTATGTAAACTGAGTCAGTGATCTGCATGACCGGATGGGGATTTGGACCTGGGTCTCCCCAATAGACTCAAACTGCTCCTTCCTTGATTTCCTTCCCTTAAAAATGTGAAACTCACATCTTCCGTTGGCCAGAGTGATTTCAAGCAAATGGAACAAGCATAAACACCTTGTTTTAAAAATGACCCATTGTGAAACAAAGGAGCAGCATCTGAAAAAGAAGCAGATTCTCTTCTCTTAGCCCCAAAGATCTGGACCCAGAAGCCTTGTAACTCTTTTGATGGCCAGAACAAAAGTGGTGAGGTCTTTTCTGGGGCACTGATCCAAATCCTTGATACCATGCAGGTCCTTCCTGCTGCAGAAGCTGATATGGAAGAAAGAATTTCCTGATGAGGGGTGACATGATAGCAGTCTTCTAATATTTGAGGGGCTGCCACAAAGAAGAGGGGGTCACGCTGTTCTCCAGAGCACCTGAGGACAGGATAAGAAGCAACGGATGGAAACTAATCAAGGAGAGAAGCCACCTGGAATTAAGGAGAAACTTCCTGACAGTTAGAACAATTAACCAGTGGAACAACCTGCCTCCAGAAGTTGTGAGTGCTCCATCACTGGAGGTTTTCAAGAAGAGACTGGATAGCCATTTGTCTGAAATGATATGGGGTCTTCTGCTTCAGCAGGGGGTTCGACTAGTCCTACCCACTGCTTGAGCAAGAGATCCTACACCATTTCAGATAAATGGTTGTCCAGTCTCTTTTGGAAAGCCTTCAATGATGGAGCACCCACAACTCCTGGAGGCAATCTGTTCCACTGGCTGATTGTTCAATTCAAGAAATGGAACATGCAAAGGACCAATTTACTTGATGGAAATGGGATGTTTTTTATGACTCTTGAAGCCTGGAGCTGTATATCATCCCCAGAACCATGCAGTCTTGTGCCACAAAATGCAAACAAGGATGGACCAAAATAATAGAATCGCACAAGTGCAGAATAACAGAGTCGCAAAATAACAGAGTTAGAAGGGACCTTGGAGGTCTTCTTATCTGGAAAATTAATACAGCCCAGGTCCCCAGAAAGATCCAGCAGAGACTTCACTTCCTCAGGGTTTTGCGGAAGAACAGGGTAGAACGATGACTCATGATCTTCTTCTACCGGTCTACTATTGAAAGCGTTCTTACACTCTGTATTGTGGTTTGATATGCTGGCTTGACAGCCGCGGACAGGAAGGTATTACAGAGGGTGGTGAGCATAGCACAAAACATCATGGCCTGTTCCCTGACACCACTGGATGACATCGCCAGGGCCCGTTGCCTTGGCAGAGTGAGGAAAATTCTCAGGGATGACTCACACCCTGGTTGGTACCTCTTTACTTTCCAACCAGTGGGTAGGAGATATAGAAATATATCCAGCCGTACCAACAGGCTGAAGAACAGCTTCTACCCATGGGCTGTCAGGCTCTTGAATGAGACATAATTTTATGCATGATAGACTTGTGAGGCCGGCGTGCTGTGCAATTAGCTCACAGGGGGTAATACATTGGTGGGTTGTGATCACTGTAAGTTGTGGCAGGGGGGCACGGAGGGAGGCTCAGCCAATCTCACTGTATACATGTTCTACTTTTATAATAAAGGTTCATTCATTCTAACCACTTGCTCAAGCAAGAGACCTTGTACCATTTTAGACAAATGGCTGTCCAGTCTCTTCTTAAAATCCTCCAGTAAAGGATAGTAGTAGCAACATTACATTTTTGAGCCATAAACTCAAAAGAACATTTGAAAAGGAGCATCGTGTCCAAGGCTGCCTCCCCACCAGGCAGTGCTTCTCACATTCTCTTTAATTTTGCACCTTCCCGGAACATAATGTGCTAATCCAGATGTGCAATGCTGGCAACATCCCTGGATTTCTGCCTGCCATGCTCCTCTGCCAAAACAGGGGCACGGCGGTCCAAGCAAGACTAGCCGGTGAAGACAAACAGGTGGACGCCCGGTGCACGGAAGTATTTGTGCACCAAAAATAATCCCCAGCCAACAGTTAAAGTTTGGATTATTTACAGCTCCTGTAGGCCCACCAAGATCTATGCCTTCGCCCCCAAATAAATCATCCGCAGGAGACAAGTGGCAGAGCCC